GTAGGTGTATCCTTCTTAAGTTCAACCTGAACTATGTCGAGACCCACTATGTGATTCGGGGTTTCGGTGTGGCTCATTGCGGTAGTCCGGTGCGACGGGGGAACCTGTAACTCTTCACAGACCGAACACTTGAACTCCTTTATGGCTTGGATCACCTCATTTGACGCCTTTGCCCTGTGAGCTAAGCGCAGCATTTGTTCATTAGAGGAATGACCCGTATTGACATGCAATTTCTGAACCATGGCGCGGAACTTATTGCGATCCCTGGGGCCTGCGACTGGCAGTTCACCTGGATCGGCCTGGGAGCCTGCTTCTGCCTGATTGCTCGCGGGGGCTCTCAGGAAGTCCTCTGTTTCAGAATCAGCTTCATCATCAGTGTTCAGAAAAACGTCATCACACGGTTGTACCTGCTCATCCCTTTTGTGCATAGCCCTAGCTATCACCTTACAGAACTTCATGGGGTAATGCTTAGCCCAGGAGGTCAGTGACTGGCCTCGGTATTGGCCCGTCAGATGCGCATGGCCAGGATGACCCGGGCACCGGTGCACACGGAGACTCTCGGCAAGTGAGGCATCTGTCGTGACAATGCGGGTAGGCCTAAGTATAGGTTCACGAGTTAGGGGGTGTTTGAGGCCAACAGCACACAAATGCACATCCACTTCAAAGGCGGGGCCTAGATTCAACTGCTGCCAGGCGTGTGAACCGGTCGGATTTTCGCCATGGGCATGACCGCCCTGCATCAACTGAAGCTGCCAGGCTTGCTCAAACAGGCGTAAAAACACAGACTCTCGGCTCCTGCAGGCCTGGACCTGACTAGCACATGAACCACCCTTGCTAATGTCACCCTTAGACCAACCGGACCAACAACGACAGGGCCAGGAAAACCACACATCCTTAGGCTTCACCAGAGCTATCAGTAGGAGTAGCAACCTACGATCATTTGCTCGCAGCAAGTCCTGGCCCCAGTCCAGGCCAATACGGATGCAGGGGCCTTCACGGATTCTCTCGCACTGGCGGGAGAGGTTGGCTGAGCCGGCGAACACTTCTACAAGGGCAACCTTACTAGGGGGACTATCGAGAACCCAAGCTTGACCCTTCAACCATCCCTTCAACTCAGCACGCACCTCACCTGGACGGCCTTGCAGTGCCGATAGCTGAAGCTGGAATGGTGTGCGTCTTACAGCTTCTACCTGGTGACCTATACGGGACTTAGTCTTGCTGCTAAGGGAATTAACCTCAAGACCAACCCAAGCAGTTTCTTCATAAAGGGTGGAAAGGTCAGGTGAGGCATTGCACACATTGAGTTCTTCTTCGCAACACTCCATCTCGCTTTCAGCATCAACAGCACAACAGTCGCATGCAGACCCGCTCGCTTCACTCACTCTGGGCTGCGGGGCTGCACCTGGTGGCACGGCACATGTTGAGGTACACTCTACTTGCCCTGAAGTACAACCACTATCGACTCCCTGCTTTCCGGTGGGCTGCCTCCGGAGTGGGGCAGGCTTCTCCCGGAAGGCGAAGATGCACGTATCCCCGCAGTCGAAGGGCTGCCGGCGCTTGCCGGAAGGGCGTTCCTCCCAGGCAGACACTGTCAGTGTTCCTTGCTTATCTAATCGAGCTACTGACCTGTGCATTGTCATGTTGTGGCTCTGCGGCGGTATGCGCTCGAACTTCGGCCTGTACGCACAGAACGCAGAGTCAACCTTGCACCCGAAAAGATTCTGAAGTTGTTGCTTGAGACTGACCGCATCGACCTGACAGTACCTAGTATTCTTTATGATGGTCTGAAAGCTACGCTTAACTGGCTCGGGAGGAGGTTTCTCTGGCATCGGAATCACAACATCTGAGTACCTGGGTGCCTCGTTCACCACCGGAACCTCAGGATCGGCATCGGCAGCGAGAGGCGGTCCTGACGAGGGCTCCTCCGAGTTCGTCAGCACTTCTTGCTGACCTGCGACAACCTGAAAGTGGCTCGGCACTACCTCGGGCACCAAGGGAAGCAGCATGTGTCCATTGGCTGCCTGTGCCAGTGGCTGTCGGATCATTCCATGCTTTCGGCTCGTCAGGGTCATAGCTCCTAGGTCTAAGGTTGCTTCCATGCCTTCAAGAACTTTCCTAGACAACAGGAAGGGCGCTTCACCAGGGATCAGGTAGGTGGTCACAGTTCCCCAGAGCTTACCCAAGCAAATAGTCCATCGCAAGCCCTTGCTCGACGTGGTGCGTGCGCCATTGAACCCACGCAATTGCACGGGGGGAAGGTCCAATGACTCGGGCCCTTGTACACCACGGGAGGCAAAGAACTTCGTGAGGCGGTCCGCAGTTCGCTCTCCGACCACTGAAGATGTGCATCCGGTATCCAAAATGGCATGACCCTCTGGGATTGACGCCAAGAGGATCTCAACCTCGCCGTCGGAGGCCGGCGGCTCGAGGGTATCAACCTCGCCGTCGGAGGCCGTCGGCTCGAAGGTCACCACATAAGCAAACTCGGTCAGAACCTGACTTTGTAGCAGATGTACATCTTCCTTCTTGGGCTTGGTGCCCTCTCGCCTCCTTCCATCGGGCTTGCCCTTCCGATCGTACCGGAAGGTGGGTTGCAGCTGAGATGATCCTGTACCAGCTACAGCGACCGCGCCACCTGGCCCATCAGGAGCCAAGGCCACTACCGGCATGTACGGCTGACGGGTCTTGCGTATCTCACGCACCTTCCGCCTCTGGTCGCGATAGTTCTTGAAGTGTTTCTTGACACCTTCTTTCGCCTTCTTCTGCGCCTCGTAGGCCGCCATGATCTCTTCCTGGGCCTCTTCATCTTCAGTCTCCAGGTCAGCCTCCATGGCTTCCTCTCCTGATGACTGTAAGGAAGGCTCCGACATCGATGGGCTGTCAGCCGATGCCGCGAAGATCCCTTCTCGGCGTGGCTGTCGCGGCGCCGGTCTCCCGTCGCGGCTGGACTCCGGCCGGCGATCCTCGAAGTCGCTGGCCCGGATGATGCGCTCCACGTCCTCGAACTTGGAGCTTCCACCCGTGGCTCTGACCACCAAGGACCTCTGCTCTCGAGACAGTCCATACTTCCTCATGAAGAGATGTCCCAGGACCACAGCCGGGAAGACTGGCTTCAGCTTCAGGTGTCCTACCTCCAGGAGCTCCAGATCTTCCATCATCTTGCGCTGAGCTCTGTCATCGTCGGCCTTCTGCGTTCCACGGCTGCCAGCGGAACGTCCGCCCGCCGAAGGCGGTCCAGTCCCTTTTGTGGGGGACTTCTCACCCACAAAGCTGCCGACTGTCCTGGCCGCTGAACGCTCTCCAGTGACCGTCTCCTTGTCGGCCGCTGATGC